TATGGCATCGGCAAACGGACTGCATGAGGAGAGTGACTCGCAACTCTGGTGGAGATGAAAGAAATGTTCATTGGTAACATTGGTTTAAGTAGAACAAGAGAAGGTGGATCATGCCCAATGTGAAGAACAAGAACGAGATTGACTATATTCTGATCGATAAGCGGCACATCATACAAAACATCTCAGTAGTGTAATCATTCAACACCGGTACTGACCATCACTTGCTTAGAGCGAGACTCATCTTCAACGAAAAGGTAGAGAAGAAAGCGTTACTGATGGCAAATCAGAGACAGGGGCCAAAAATATTCTATGAGGCAATCCTGAAAGTGAACATTTCCAAGGAAGACTGAAGTCTCATAGAATACTGTGATGAGTACTATAAAAACTTCACTGATAAGCTGAGACAATGCATGCAATTAGCTAAGAAAGAAAGACCGAAAAGAGCAAAGGTAAGAATCTCAGAAGAAACAAGGAACTTGCTACAGAAATGGAGAACTATGAAGAGAAATGATGGCAACAAACTCAAGTACTCCCTCCTCTGCAAGCTGATAAGAAGACGACTAAAGGAGGATTTTGAGAAGTACTGAAATGAAAGCTTCTTAAAGATGGCTAAAGATCACAGAAGCCTCAAAAAATGCCAACGGGAATTGACACTGTACTGGTTGACAATAATGGCACTGAAGAACAAGGATGGAAAAGCAGTAATTGACAGAACAGGGATGGAAGCAGTCTGCAAAGATTTCTGCACTGAACTGTTCATGTATCAAATAAATGTCCCACTACCAACACTTCAACAGACCAATGAGCACATACTCCCGGTCCTCATCAGCGAAGTTCGACATGCAGTTTATCAAATGAAGGAAGGAAAAATTCCAGGAAAAGATGGACTGACAACCAAAATAATAAGAACTGGAGGCCAAGACCTCTGGGAAATTCTTGCTAAGAGGTTTAGCTGGAAGGAGTCCAACACCATTTTGCTGTATAAGAAGGGTGATCGTGAAGATCTAAATAACTATTTTCCAATATTCCTGCTTTCACTTGTTTATAAGCTGTTCCAGACTAATAACAAACTGACTCTCAAAGTTGGGATGAGCAGCAGCCAAAAGAGCAGGCAGGTTTTCGAAGGAATTTCAGCACTATGGACCAGCTAATGGAGCACTCAAGGCAATACAAATTCCCTTTATGCATTGCTTTCGACAACTATGAAAAAGCATTCGACAGTGTAGAGATCAATGCAGTGCTGAAAGTTCTTGCAGAGCAGGGCATCGACACAAACTACATCAACCTATTAAAAGAAGCAAACTCTGACTGCACTATGCATATAATTCTGTTTGACACTCCCCTTCGTACCCCAATCAAAAAAGGTGTGAAGCAAGAGACATGATTTCACCCGAACTCTTCACAGCCTGCCTCGAAATGGTAATGAGGTGGATGAACTGGAAGGGTGGAATTAGTACCAATGAAGAGCAGTTAATCCACCTCAGATATCGTGCTGATTACTGAAAACACTATGAAACTACAGAAAATGCTGCAAGAACTCGACAGAAAAAGCAGCCAAGTTGGACTAAAAATGAACAGCTCTAAGATGAAATTTATGCGGCCTGATGCCTTGCCTAAAGCCCAAATAATAGTTAAGAAAGAACAAATTGAAGAAGTCAAGCAATACGTTTATCTGGGCCAAGAAATTAATATGCACCACGATCAGTAAGACGAACTCTCACGAAGAAAGAAAGCTGGTTCGCACGCATTCAGTTCTATCAAAGATGTCCTCCAAGGAAAAATCAACAAGGCAACACACACCAACCTCTTCAACTCAACAGTACTGCCAGCAATATTGTACAGCAGCGAAACATGGATACTGATAAAGGTAGAGGAGCAACAACTGGCTGTAACAGAGACAGCGATGGAAAGAAGAATTCTGGGGATGGGATTTCAATCCACAACCGATTCCCCAATGAAATGATCAAACAGCACAGTGGAGTGCAGGACGTTGTTGTTGAAAGCAGGTACAGTAAAATGCGATGGGCCAGGCATACAGCTAGGCTCACTGTCAGTTGATGGACTGCAGCTGTCGCTGAATGGTATCCACAGGAACTGAAACAACCATTTGGCCAACATCCAAAGAGATGGGAAGATTTTATCGTAAAAAGGCATGGCCGCACATGGAGAAGTAAGGCCAGGATAAGAGAATCATAGAATCATAGAATCATAGAATATAAGGGTTGGAAGGGACCCCAGAAGGTCATCTAGTCCAACCCCCTGCTCAAAGCAGGACCAATTCCCAGTTAAATCATCCCAGCCAGGGCTTTGTCAAGCCTGACCTTAAAAACCTCTAAGGAAGGAGATTCTACCACCTCCCTAGGTAACGCATTCCAGTGTTTCACCACCCTCATAGTGAAAAAGTTTTTCCTAATATCCAATCTAAACCTCCCCCACTGTAACTTGAGACCATTACTCCTCGTTCTGTCTTCTGATACCATTGAGAACAGTCTAGAGCCATCCTCTTTGGAACCCCCTTTCAGGTAGTTGAAAACAGCTATCAAATCCCCCCCTCATTCTTCTCTTCTGCAGGCTAAACAATCCCAGCTCCCTCAGCCTCTCCTCATAACTCATATGTTCCAGACCCCTAATCATTTTTGTTGCCCTTCGCTGGACTCTCTCCAATTTATCCACATCCTTCTTGAAGTGTGGGCCCAAAACTGGACACAGTACTCCAGATGAGGCCTCACCAATGTCGAATAGAGGGGAACGATCACGTCCCTCGATCTGCTCGCTATGCCCCTACTTATACATCCCAAAATGCCATTGGCCTTCTTGGCAACAAGGGCACACTGCTGGCTCATATCCAGCTTCTCGTCCACTGTCACCCCTAGGTCCTTTTCCGCAGAACTGCTGCCTAGCCATTCGGTCCCTAGTCTGTAGCTGTGATTGGGTTCTTCCGTCCTAAGTGCAGGACCCTGCACTTATCCTTATTAACCTCATCAGATTTCTTTGGCCCAATCCTCCAATTTGTCTAGGTCCTTCTGTATCCTATCCCTCCCCTCCAGCGTATCTACCACTCCTCCCAGTTTAGTATCATCCGCAAATTTGTGAGAGTGCAATCCACACCATCCTCCAGATCATTTATGAAGATATTGAACAAAACCCCCAGGACCACCTGGGGCCTCCATTGATACCGGTGAACTAGACATGGAGCATTGATCACTACCCGTTGAGCCCGACAATCTAGCCAGCTTTCTACCCACCTTGTAGTGCATTCATCCAGCCCATACTCCTTAACGCTGAAAGAATATGGGGAGAGTGTCAAAGGAATAAGAAACAATAATCATTCCCTTCATCACAAACCATAATCTCTCATAGAAGGATTAGATTTGTTAATTTTCCTTTGTAAATTATTTTTTTTTTTTTTTTTTTTTTTTTAAATTTTTAAGATTTTTTTTTTGGGTTTGTTTTTGGTGAATGAGGAAGAATGGAAGGCATGTTGTGATTGGCTCAATCTATATGAGGGCTGAAGGACTGATCGATCAAGGTGAGATAGGAGGCCAAACTCAGCCAGTAAAAAAGTTAAATTAAACTTTTAAAAGTTCACATGGGAACAGGTGCACAAATTATTATTCTAGAATAAATGTGGTTGCCCTGTTATTACTGTACCTATTTTAATATATACCACGGAACACCTCATTTTGTTCAACAGAGCACCAGGCAATTCCCAACATTTATTAAAAATGCATATAAATCATTAAATTAAAACTCCTGCATACCATCCTCATGGAGAAGGCAAAAGAAATCCCAGTTTATTCCTACATCAACTGGCCTCCAGATATAGATCTTTGGCATTGTAGAGTAAGTCTACATAGGATTTTCCCTGACCTACACTAGAAAAGGAAGTGTATGAATCCATCCCCCTGCATCTATGTGAAAAGAAGATCTAAGCACCACAGCACATGCCCTCTGGATATGGAATATGGGAGATACCCTTTGTGGGTAATTTTAAGGGGAAAAATATCCCTTCCTCTGCTGGTAGCCCAAACACTGATTTCCAAGCGTCTGCTTTTGGATTCAGAAGCAGAATTATAAAGGAATTATGGAAATCGAGGGCCCCAAGAGCACACATCCACATACCTAGACTTGCAATAGAAGTTTCAAAATAGAGGTTTGTTTTCAGGTAGTGTCCCTCATTTTGGAAACAGTCTTCAATTATTTATTTATTTTTAAGAAATCCCAGAATTGGCATTTTTCAAAGAAAGGCCCTGGAAAGTGATGGGTTAGTCCACAAGCTGGAGAAAGCGAAACCATGATCTGGTAAATAGTAGTGTAAATAGTAATGATGTAGGTCCAATATTTAAGTTTTGTTTAAAAAATATTTTACAAAGCTTAAAATTAATTAGAATCTTGGCATTAATTGAAAAATATTAATTACAAAGTTTGTTATGACAAACGTTTGCCTCCAGTGTTTACAACTCAAGCACTCCAGCATTCTGCCTGTACACATGCACCAGAAACTGACAAGGCCTTTTTGCCAAAGCTCAGTGAAATACAAAAGCAGACAGCATGTGTGACAAAAAGTACATTTGATTTAGTTTTAGAATTCTTTTAGTTTTAATAACTTGATTATTATTCTATGATTCTATGATTATGGTGTGGCAGGCTTTCTAGGGGATGTCCATAAACTACGTAACACATTTTTTTGTTATTTTCATCACTCACTTTCCTCCCCTTGTAACACTGAAACAAACATGCAAAATTAAGGACTCACCCACCCCTAAATGTGTTACATAATTTATTGACAGCAGCTTATATACTGAAAGCAAAGAATGGAGCTCCATGCAGGAACAAGAGTCTGATTGCAGAACTGGGGCCAAAGTTAGTAACAAAGAAAGATTTTTTAAAACGTGACAGTCTCTTTAAACATACCCATGTAGACAAAACATTTATATAAAAAATATAAGTTCTGAGGACAAACATTTAAAGCGGTTTTCTCTTATCACCATAAGCCTCACCTTTGACAGAAGATTGTTTGGACTGATACTGTAGCCTTTAAGGCTCTCATGTAACTTCTGCAAGCACTGTACAACTCTTCGTTGTTGTTCATCATTCCCCAGCTCTTCTGCTTTGATCAGAAAGTCATAGTGTTCTAAAGGTCCATTGCAAACCAACAAGGCCCTAGAGTTAGCATCTGCTAGAGTATTAGGGGCTATGTTCTCAGCTGCCTGAATTGTGTATGCTGTAAAATAAGAAATAATTAACTGTTAATAGAAAGGTTCTGAAAGTTGTTTTATTATATTCTTAAACAATATACACATTTACACAAATTATTATGTTCAAAAATGGCTGCTACTTTAAATAAGTAGTAACAGAACAGTATAGATTAGCTAAATATGCACCATTATATGCAATCTCTTTGTATTTCTCTAAATAAGCTTTTTAAAATGTAGTTCAAAACTGGAAGTTGCTTAGTACAGGGAGGGAAGGGTTAAACATGTTTATATATATATATATATATATATATATAGTGACAAAGCTCTGTCCTTGCCTCCATGGGTCCCGCGTTTCCTGGCGGATTTCACTAGCCTCAGAGGCTCACTGTGACCCTCCACATAACCCTTCTTTCTCTAGAGACAAGGGTCACAGTCTACTGAGCCATTTTAATCATAAGCCAGCGAGGGAGGTGAGGAGAAGTTATCCTTCCTTACACAGTCTCTGTTGTCTCCCAGTCTCAGTGATTAATCAGGGGGCGAGGGGGGGGGGGAGCCCGGGCCCACCCTCTACTCTGGGCTCCAGCCCGAGGGACCCTAATAGTATCAGCTATGGTAGCTGACCTTTTAGAGACATGACATGTACAATTCCCTGTGCTACTTCCCCCACAGCAGCCCTCACTTCCTCAAGCTCCACTTCACCCTTACCTCAGGGTCTCCTTCCTTGTGCCTGATATGGTGTGTACTACTCAGCCTCTCCAACAGCGCAACTTCCTCCCACAGCTCCTGACATGCACACCCACCTGACTGACTGGGAGGCTTTTAACTAGTTTCAGCCAGCCCCTGATTGGCTTCAAGTGTCCTAATCAACCTAGCATTCTCCCTGACTTCTGGAAAGTTCTTAATTGGCCCCAGGTGTCTTAATTGACCTGGAGCAGCTTCCATTTCACTTAACCTGGTACCAGGGATTTGTTTAGCCTGGAGCTAATATATCTATTTCCCACTACTTTTCTATAGCCATCTGGCCTTGCCCCATCACAATATATATATATACATACATACACACACACACACACACACACAAAATAAATGCACAAACTTTAAAAAAAAAAAACAATTAGAGCTAGTCAAAACTTGCGATTTGCATTCCACAGGAAATTCTATCATTTAGAAATCTGGCTTTGTTCCAAATTGGAACAAAAACAAAACATTTCAAAACTGACCACAAAATGAATTATTTTTTAAAAAATTATTCAATTAAATTGAAACATTTCATCCCGATTGACTTTAATTTTATATTTAAACTAAAAATCAAAATGATATGATCCAATAAGATAGACAAAACAAAATCAAAACAAAATTTTGTTGAACAACGTATTTCTGTGGCAAGTTTTGATTTTGCTGAAACATTTTCTGACAGAAAACAGCATTGTGTCAAAAAAATTTTGACCAGCTCCACCCCAACAAAACACTGACAACCAGACAGTGCTATATATCAGGGCAATCCTCAGATCAGTCTGGATGGTCCACCAGAAATCACCATCCCTGGAGGCAAACCCCAGCTATTCCTGATTGGATCTGTGAGTTTGGATCCTGTATAGTTTCTTCAGAGCTGTCTTCCCTCTACACTATGTGGGGGGAGTTGGTGATATGGGAGTTTTGATTCGAAGGGAAGCCAGTGCCCCCATCAAACCCACGGAGCCCCAGTTCCTATTGGATACCCCAAGATTATAGAACAAGTAGCAGCATGAAACCTAGATTTATGGAAGGGAAAGTAATCTGGTGCCGTGCAGTTCCTGAACACAGGGCTGAAGGCATCGTAATAGAGATCTCCCTCAGTAGACCACAACAGGCTCTCCTTAAAGATGGTGCATCTTTGTGCCTTGGACTTCACCTGTTCTGTCTTGCCAAACAGCAGCAGAAGCAGAAGGTGATAAACCCTCAGGTAGTCTCTTGGGATGGAAAGGAAAAGTCTTCCTCATTTACAGACATGGGAGATAGAGAGCATGTGTAAGTGCTGATAGAGGGTTCTGTGGGAGAAACTGCTCACGGTTGTCCCAAAATAAACATTTAAAGCCGAGGTTTGTGAAAGAGGAGCACTGCTGCAACTTCACGACTAGATGGACAAGATCTGGTGGGTGACAGAAGAGTCATGGCTAAGCCCCAAAACCTTGGTGACATGTCTGGTGTTGGGACTGCTTCCAGTATCTACAAGATGTAATCCCACTAGAAACAGATTCAGAGAGAGGTCAGGAGCCAAACTATGTCATTCCACTGCATCATCTACCCTACAACAATAATTTGATACACATGGCCAGAATAGACTTCTCAGTCATCCAGTATTTTACAGGACTGATCCATATATCATTAACACTGCTTCTCTACTGTTACCTGTTCTTGAACAGATCCAGAGAAGGGGATTCTTCATTATTATGAGCAAAACGTAGCAAATGTACACCAGAATATTCTTCCTTCCTTATTCTTACACTTCTTACAATTTCTTATTCTATCATTTTGTGGTAATGTCAACAATGCTTTCTTCATTTACGGTATATAGCACTTCCCTGCAAGCTTTTATTTTCCAGAGTGTAGAAACTGGACTCTGACCATTTCTCTTCCTGCCTACCCTCTAATGCTTGTATTATATATCACAAAGCTCTGTGTATGTTTTCTCTATTTCCCTCCACACTCAAAAGTATCCTTCTTAAACTGTGACGATTACATGTAATATTTCTGACATGGTCACAGCAGAGTGAAAAGCCATATCAGATTCCCCTAATTTTATATGAAATCTGTGTATTTATACAAAAACAGAATTGGCTTTTTTCACAAGAGTGCTACATTCCAAGCTTGTTTATTTTGTTATACATTGTCACTCTCTCTTCTTAAATTCACTGCTTTCTAGAGAGCTGACTCCAGTTTGTATCAGTATTTTTATTTCTGTTCCTAAAATCCATGTATTCAAATTTAATCTCATTTTATTGCATGCAGCCAATTTTGCTGCCCTGCTGGCTGTCTACTACCCAAATATTACTGATCAACATGCCAGAAGATATTGATAATGAAATAAAGTGAAAGAAACCTCTTACTAACAGAAAATAAAAAACAAAACCTGAAGCAAACAAGAATACATGAACTTAGGGCTTGAAAAATCCATTTACAAGTATAAAAATTTTCCTGGCAAGCGAGGAACCTAAGAGCAACTTCTGCTGCATCTAATCTTTCTTTTTTAGAATATTGTTTATTGTTGCAAAGATCACCATTTGAATGTAAACCAAACATAAAACAATGCAGTGATATCTTCCTACATTTGTGATAGACAATTCCAGTCCCCTAGTCTTGCCAACCTACAGCAGGGTGAAAATTAAATTGAACCTTGTCAGTTTTTCCTGCTGCTATTCAGAAACTTGCAGCAGCACTGAAACTGATCAATCAGTTTTGATTTTGATTCGAGCTGTAAAGCAATTAAAAAAATTAATTGCAATTAATCGCAGTTAATAATAGAATACCATGTATTTAAATATTTTTGGGTGTTTTCTACATTTTCGAATATATTGATTTCAATTATAACAGAATACAAAGTGTACAGTGCTCACTTTATATTTATTTTTTATTACAAATATTTCCACTGTAAAAAACAAAATAGTATTTTTCAATTCACCTAATACAAGTACTGTATTGCAATCTCTTTATCATGAAAGTTGAACTTACAAATGTAGAATTATGTAAAGTGCCAGTGTAAGACAAGCCCTCAGTATGTATTTCCAACTTACCAACGTTGATGTTTCAAATTCCAAGAGGCAGTGTTACAGGAAGGAAATAGTAGTCAGGACTTCTGGGCTTTATTCTCATCTTTGCCATCAGTTCACTACATGACCCTGGGCAAGTCACTTACCCCACCTATAGTTTACCCGTTATGGTACTATAAAGCTCCTCAGAAAAAGTATAAAGTATTGTTATTAGCCCTGGAATTCCGTTTTTTCCCCCAGCTGCTTCACTATTATGATATGAGAGGACTGCCTGTGCTACTGCTGCTCATAGGAATAGCCCCATGTATAGTCCTTACGATTGGAAAGAAAATCTTGAAAACATGGTGTGACAGAATATACCCATGTCCACTATTGTAGAAATCTTTGTACAAGGTATGTCTTGTGAGGTGTTATTTGAAAACTCATAATTTGCTGGTCATTATTGTCCTGGTAAAATCCTGTATATGAATTTATAAGATGCCACTGTTTAGTGGTATTAACACAGATTCCAAACCACAGCCCTGCCCAAACAGAAGTTGGCAAACAGGTCTGTCTCAAAGAAAATGTGTGCTCTGCTTAATCTGCATTTAAGCAGTAAACAGAGTCATCAAGCAGGAAGGGAGACAAAGGGTAAACTAGGTGTAAACAAGGCTGATGGGCCATTACATGCTAAGTGACCATTCTCTGGCTGGAAAGGGAGCAGGGGCAAAAAGAATCTACATTAAGGCCTTGTCTACACTATTGAGTTTTGTCAACAAAAGGCCGCTTTTGTCAAAACACACTGCAATGCAATCTTTGGTGGCAAAAATGTCCTGTTTTGACAACAAAATAAAACTACCCCGACAAACGACAAGGCTTTTTGCAAAAAATTTTTGTCAACGAAGTGCCAGTGTCGACGCCACGCTTGATTTTATCGCTTTAGTTGGCCCGCAGGAGGTGTCCCACAATGCCCATCCTGACCGTTCTGGTCAGCAGTTTGAACTCCACTGCCCTGCAGCCAGGTAAACAACTATCCACCCCTCCCCCTTAGAAGCCCTGGGAATTTTTGAAATTCCATTTCCTGTTGGCTCGGCATGGAAAGGTCTCATCACATCTTCACAGGTGACCATAGCGGCTTATTACAGCAAACACTCTCCCACTTGGACCACTGCAAAGCTGCTGGATCTCCTCCAGTATATGGGGAGAGGAGGCTGTGCAGTCCCAGCTGAGACTGAGCCATAGGAATTGGGATACCTATGGGCAGATTTCTCGAGGCTTGTGCAAAAAGGGCTATGATTGGG